AAGATATTATATATAAGCACTACACATCACACAGATATAAACAAAGATTCTGTCTTATTAAATATTTCTGATATTCTATTCTCATAATAATAGCTATTATTATTATTGTATCTATTATGAATAATATATCTATTATATTCCGTATTATGTTCCATATGTAACGATTATATGTTACGCATTATTAGTGAATAATATTAATTACTAGTCACTTGATTTTTCGTTCAAATTGTGATTGTAATTTAATTATCCAACTAATCAGCTGTAGCTTCAGTTATTATTTCCAATAACATTTCCTAATTATTTCTTGCATCTACTACATCGCACTTTTATTCGTCTCTTATTATTATTATATCTTGATGCACGTCAAATGCATTTTGAAATTAATCGACTTCATTTATTTATTTGCCATTATTTATTCTATAAAAAGAAATTAAATTTTGTTGGTCGGTAACGAATAAGCGGCGATGTTTCATGAATATTTAATATTGTTGGGGTGGGGATACCACCAACGCGCTTCTAAATAACTTTGTACGAGATATTATTATATACCTTCCGATCGAACTGATCGTAAATTAATAATTCGCCGAAATGACATTTGGCAGAATTATCGCAAAGTTATTATCTACCTTCGAACGAACAAAGTCATACGTCACTGCGGACGTAGCACAGACTTCAAATATCGTCTCCTCAAAAATTTTTTTCAAGAATGAAGGGGAGGAGAAGGAAGGGGAGAGAAAGATTCTTGTATGAATAGAATTCCAAGTTCCTCCACATTTTTTCTGAACGAGGTCTCCTTTTTTCTGATCTTTATAGACCGGGACTTAGCTACGATTGTAACGTTTCAAGGAAAACGGACGCACTGTGAGCAAAAATGAGATCTCGTAGGAAAGAACACGGACGGCAGGAAATAACTTCGTTATCTTTTACGAGCGTATCTTTCTCGAGATGTACCTCTCAAGTGTTTTTTCCCACAATTTTTCTTGCTTCCCATGGCGTATCCAGACTGTGTTTAATTTTTCACCAACTTTTCTCCATTCTCCAGGCAGCTTGCGACGGCGTTGTTCTACAAGTTTATTAACAAAGACCAAACAGTACCTATATAATAACACGACGTGCCGATATCGCAGGGTAAAATCGACCGAGATATTTCGCAGAAATGGTGGCACATGGGCGAGGCACACATTGCGTGTTTGTAGCGTGTTCGTTATAATAATGTATTTAGAGTATGCAATTTCGTTACAATATGAAACGACCATATGATGCAATTAAGTGTGCCGTGAATAAAGAGGGGGAATGCAAAAATACAGGGATGTAGTAGGCAACAAGTTGACACTCGAGAGGGAGGGACCGAAGCGGATCGAACTTTTGGCTTTACTCCAATATGTCTCTACGGACCGAAAAAAATATCGCACACAAAGTCGCACACAAACGCGCACACATACACGTACATCTAGAGACACAGATAAAGGGAAAGCTCGCCAACACTCCCCTGACCTAGTTATTAGACTTTAGCGTGGGACAGTGCGGATATCACTGTAAATTTCCATGGCACCTTCCATCCGAGATTTAAGGCTCGTTGATAGAGAGATCCAAGGGTTCCCAAAGCACATGTACATGCGAAAAAGGGTGGCTTGCCTTGGTTTCGCGCCTATTCATTTCCCTCAAGGGATAAGAAGGGTAATCACGGTGCCGGGCTTTCGTTAAAGATACTCGAACTCTCTCCGTGTGCGAGATAATCTAACAGTAGAGATTGCACCTCGTAGAAATTGAAACGTAAACTGAAATTAAAATTTTATTCGTAGCTTTGATCTAGTTTAAAAATGTTTATGGATTCTAAAGAGTTGCGATAGATTTAATTTAGATAGAAAACTTAACTGAACTCTTCGCGACTAAAGCAAATAATGAAAGAGCAATTTTTTATTTTCAAAACTCAAAAGAATCTTCGAATGTCAGTAAAATATACGATTCTAAGCAGGAATATGTGTTTTTGTTCCTGTACATTAGGTAATGTCAAAAGAATTCGATCTAATTCCTTAAAAATATCAAAATAAATAAATAGATAAAATAAAATGTAGACAAAAAAAAATAGATAAAAAAGTAGACAGAAAAATAATCTTTATATTTGACATTGCGAGATGCATTTTATATTTACTGCAAAAGTTCCCGTCGACTTGTGAATTCTCGATCTTGTAATCCTGCCAAATTTAAAGAGACATTTTTTTCTCCTCTAAACATTAAATTTTTTTCACGCGTTTTTTTTTCGAGCGTTACTGAACATCCACTTTGTGATATACTCAACTTCGAGGTACGTATAAAGTTCTTCGAATATATATCTTACGCTAGAAGCTGGTCGAATGAACTTTGGTCAACCTTCGTCTTTGACTTTAATTAAGCATATTACTGTCAGGAGATGTCAGTCTGTGACAATTAAACTCGCTAAATGTAAGAATTAGAAAGCGAGGCTCTCCTCGTTCTTATAACGTGTCACACCCGTTAGAAAACATAACTTGCGAAAATGAATACTGCAGTTGCATCATTTTTCGAATACGCCATTTATTTTTAATAAAATGATTTAAATTTTCCGTCATCATTCAAGTTTCTAAAGTTTTTTTTTCTGTTCCTACTGTACTGAAGCTCATTGTTATATATATAGTAACGTTATAAAAAAAAAAAAAAAAAAAGAACAAACGAGATTGTAACAAGTATGCAATTTTTACTTTCTATAAATTGAGATTAATTTATGAAGAAAAGATTCATAAAATATTTTTAAAAATATAAATTCGAATAAAAACAGAGGCGCTCTTTTATCTCGCTTGCCTTCGATGCCTTCGGTTTCTCACAGGTTCACTTACGTCTACCTAATTTCTCTTACGAATCTGTCGGGAAATGAAATGAAATGAAATCGACCTTCCACCATTTGCGATTTGCGGCCTGCGAAATTTCCCATAAGACGTTCGTGCAAGTACTTCGCTAAATGGGATCCAGACCGATCTAACTATCGAAACTCGTTACAACAAAAGCCGCATATATGTAGCTCCTTGTTGTACATACGACGTGCGTGTGTGTGTGTGTGTGTGTGTGTGTGTGTGTGTTGTTTCGCAGCGTGAACGCGCGGCATATATGCACCCTCGTGCAACTGACATCTACACACCGGCGAAAGCTACAAGAGACAATCGCCGTTGTTGTGCGGTCCGGACGCGTGCAAGGACCTGTGTCTGTCACGCCCGTGTGTGCGTTTTACACACAGGGATACGAGAGGGATGTGTCGCACGTACACCGACGAGCCGCCAATCACTTTGACCTGTAAATACGTTATCTGCCCCAGCGACTCCCGATACACTTGATTGCACTCGGTCACCTCTACCGACGTCGAGTCACTTCACTCAACCGGGTCTTTACTCCTCGAAGGCGAAGCGCTATCGTCATCGACATGTACGTCGCTGTTGTTGTTGTGTTGTGTTGTTACGCACGCACACGCGTGTTGGAAGCGCGTCG